ACTGTTCTTGAACTTGGGATCTTCCTGCCTCAGCCTCCCTGGTAACTAGCATTCCAGGCATGTACCACTATGCCCAGCTTATTTTCTAATTATTAAATAACATTTTTATTTGATAAGRTTCTGCCTCAGTAAAAWTTTTTATTTTAAAAGTACCTGCTGGGGGGCTGGGGCCGTAGCTCAGTGTTTGAGCGCTTGCCTCGCATGCATGAGGCACTGGGTTCGAGCCTCAGCACCAATTTAAATAAATAAATAAATAAACAAAACGAAGATATTGTGTCCATCTACAACTAAAAACTATTTTTAAAAAAGAGAGTACCTGCTGGGATACATATAGATGCATATAAAATTGTCTGAACTCTTTAAAGAAAGGGAATCATGTACTGAGACTTGTTTTAAGAATCTCAGTTTTACAGATATTCAAAAAAYTTTAGTCAACAAGATGAAAAATGGCTGTGTTCTATTAAAAAATTGACAAATATTAGAGACTTTCAGTATGCTAAGTTCTGTGTAAGGCACTTACTACATTTTTAATTTAAAATGCTTCTGGACTATAAATTCAGCACTCTACATGTGAATGTATCTTTAAACTAAAGAAACTCAGTTTACTTGATTAACTATTATAAATGATAAAAAACTAATTTGCCATCATCAAGAGGGGCATAATTCTTTGCCACATTTAGAGATGTGCTTGCCCCCTAATATTTGGGCGATTTCTGTATTGCAAAACTAGATAATGCACTGATGAAGTATTGAACTGAAGTTTCTAGATCTTGTACCCAGAGAATATTTGAGAAAACTGTAGAATAAAATAAAATTTTAAAAATCTAAAAAAAAAAAAAAAAAGAATCTCAGTTTTAGGGCCAAAAGGAGAACTTTTTTAGAGTGAAGTGTTCAGAGAGAGGACACAGTGGTGGCTTTTGTCCTGGTTGATCACTGGAATTACCTGGGAGTACCAAAAAGTCAGTCCTAGTGTCTGGAACACCCTCCCACTGCCACTAAGGCCAGGAAGATCTGCTTCTCCGGCTGTGTGGCCAGGCTTCCAGGTGMCACGGGGCCACCAGGATCCTGGTGCAGTCGGGTCACAAACACTATTTGACCCATGAGCTCCCCTGAAGAGCTCATGAGCTTCCCACCCTCGAGTTTCTGATTCAAGGGGTCTAGGCAGGCAGGGATTTGACATTTCTAGCAAGTTCTYGTGCTGTGTTGTGTGAGAATCTTCATTTCCCATAAGTTGTTACTCTCATTACTTTAAATGGCACCTTGCTTAGTGCCTTTAAAATAGTAGGATATACAGAGTTGACTGGCAGTAAGAGTCTGGAGTGGGAGGTGATCTAGGTCCTCTAGACRGGGCGGACCCCTGCCCAGCGTTGCGGGGCAGTGACTGGCAGAGCTGGGACTGAACTTCGCTGCCTTGGTCTGCTTACTTCTGCTTGTGCCGCTTCTGTCCCACATACCGCCTTCCGCTAGAAAACGCAGGGGCCCTTCTCCCTTGCCAGCCTTGGGCTGAGGCCCAGCCTGTCCCTCCTGGGTCCTGTGTGTCCTTGCCTTGGATCCTGCTGTGTGAGGCTTCGCCTCGTGAGCGCCATCCCGGTTTCCTTTTTGGGGTCTTCAGGCCACTGTCTTCCCCTCGTGGACTGGGCTTCGGCTTTACACCTTTGTCCTGTTTATTGGTATATTTGTGTATTTATCTACAATTTTTTTTAAAATGCTGAGTTAGGAATGCTTTAAATTTTCTTCTATAAATTTAGAGGCCTGCTAAGTTTAGAAATAATTTTTACAAGTAGAAGGAAAATATGTATAAGTAAGAGATTGTGATTGGAAATACCTTTCTGAAGTCCGCATGTTTATACTTATCCTGGGATTTGACTCCTGCTTATTTCTGCTTTGCATAGAAATGTGGAACCAGGAGGCAAACGGAGGTGAGGCTGGGCAGGATGACCGCGAAATCCTCTGGTCAGGGAATGGCACTCAGGGTCAGAGGCTTCCTGGGATTGCTGAGTGTAACTTTCCCAGGTGTCTGTTTCTGACTTAGGAATCGAGCTACATGACCTAAGATGACAGAGAAAAGGGTAAATTTTCTACTTGATTGTAAAATGAAGTGTACAGTGGTTTGGAGACCTGATGTGCCCAGTTTACATCCCCTGGACTGCTTCCCCCGGTACTAGAGATTGAAACCAGGAGTGCTCTGTCACTGAGCTATACCCCAGTCCTTTTGTTTTTATGTCCATGTCACTTTTCACTTTTACAATTAGACCTAGGTCTTTTAAAAATTAATTTTGCTTTTTTTTTTTTTTTTACTGGAAATAAGTGGAAAGAAAAATCTTAGCAGGCAAGATACAGCAGTGCTAGAGAAGGCCTGTGCTGGGAACGTGGACCTGGCAGTATTCACAGTCTGTTCAGGGAAACGAAACACACATCCGAATGGCTTTTCATCGAAGGTCTTGAACCAAAGCCAGGGATTTGTCGGGGGGAAAAGTTGATTTGTAAAAAAAGAGAGCAAGCAGGTATGGAGGGGGAAGCCCTTGCTATAAATACACGTTCTTTGCTTTCTGCCTGGAATAGCTTTCAAAAGCACCCTGGTTCCGTCTGTGACAGGGCAGTACCCTCTCCCAGGCACAGTGACGGCTCAGTAGTGTCTGAAGAGCCCAGCACCCAAGGGGGTGGCCCTCCTGCTGCTGGCTCCCGGTCCTGACAGAAGTCTGTGTGGACAGAGCTCTGTGTGAGGTGGGAGCCAGCCTGACCTTGCAGAGTAAGCAGGTGGAGCTGTGGGTGGCCTGAGCAGACCAGAGAATCCGGGAAGGGCTGGGGAAGGACAGATGAGAGGTGACTTTTAAATCTGTTAATTTAGATATATTCTCTTTCTTTTTAGGATGTTCTGGTCTTACCCCACTCAGAAGCAGTACATAGACTAGAGTAAGGAAAACCCTCTTTCTGCATTTTGCCTCCTGTGCAGAGAGCGTTCTGTGTAATTATGGGTCCTTTCTCTGTAAATTTTCTTCCTGTCTTCCCTGTCACTTAATGTTCTCATAGGTGTTTCTCCCTTTTATAACTTAGTCATCCCCACCTGTCTCAGTTCAGCCAGTGACACTGGGTGTTGCTTGTGGTTACCTGCTCTTTTTGTAAAAAAATTATTTATTTATTCTAATTTCTTATAAATGGTGGCAGAATGCAATCCATTTCATATTACACATATAGAGCACAATTTTTTCAAGTCACTGATTGTACACAAAGTATTTTTACACCATTCGTGTCTTCATACATGTACTTAGGGTAATGAAGTCTAACTCATTCCACACCCCTTGCCCCTCCTTTCYCCTGCCTCCCCTTTGTCCTATCTAAAGTTCCTCCATTCCTCCCATGCTCCCCCCCATCACCATTATCAATCAGCATCCTCATATCAAAGAAAAATTCAGCCTTTGGATTTTGGGGATTGGCTTGCTTCATTTCGAATTATAATCTCCAACTTTTCTTTTAATGCTGAATAATGTTCTATTGTGTACGTATACCCAAAGTTTCCCTATCCATTCATCTACTGAAGGGAATCTAGGTTGGTTCCATAATTTAGCCATTGTGAATTGTGCTGCTATAAACATTGATATGGCTGTGTCTCTGTAGTACACTGTTTTTAAGTCCTTGGGGTATAAACTGGGKAGTGGGATTGGTTACCTGCCCTTGACTGTTGAGGCTGAAGGGTTGACAGAATGGTCCTTCATAAATCTAGCTTCTTTGAAATGTAGCAGGTAGTTTTAAAGGCTGTGGTTCCCGGAATATCCACTACATGGCGCTCATGCGTTAGAAATAAATTCTAAAGCCAGTTGCTGGGGAGATGAAGAGCATTGTGACCATGTACAGACAGGTTAAGATCCAGAACCGCAAAAGAAGGAGGAAATCCGAGGTGTTCATTTGCACTGCAGACTCATCTGGCTTCCCTAACAACAGCCTCCAGTACCATGATGATAATATGTCAAAATTTGTTTTAAATTTTGAGACAATTTACTGGAAGATGAAAATATCTTAATTGATTGGTAAAAGGCATGTCCTCCTTAGACTTTCCTGTAAAGCTGGAAAGCTTCCCTSTAATCAGTGCCTGGGTGGGGTGCATGCCAGCTGCCACAGAGAAAACAGCTAACGCTAACCCTGTTGTCCTTGGAAACGCAGAAGCTGATGTGTGCAGGGCAGTGGATACGTGGGTGCTTGTGAGCCTCAGCGACAGCCTCAACACCGCAGTTTCTTCCAGAGTAGTTTTGTGACTGACTGCTGGAGCCGTGTCCAGTGCTTAGAGAATCAGGGTTTCTTTTTTTCTTATGGACATGGAGCCACCAGCATCACATCTTCCTGAGTTCTTGTCCCAGGATGTTCTGCCCACATCTTTGTGGAGCTCCCTTGACTAAGGAATGCTTTAGTGCGTGCTTTGTGATTCTTGGTCTTGGTGCTCACTAAGTTCTTGGTCTGTGAATATACTTTAACATTTTTGTCTTGGTTTTCATCTGGGCATGTAAAGGAAAATTATATTTTAAAAATGAAAGAGCCTCAAGCTGATGGTCACTCCCTGAAAGAAGATATGATAGATATTATTTTCTGAATACCAGAACCAATAAGAACAACCTGGGGAAAAAGTAAGACATTTCTGTCTAGACAGGGATTGAGAGAACTTCATTGATACTTTATAATCATGGACGAGGAATCCTGATTTCAAAAGGCCCAGCGTATTAGGATGTGGGGTGCTGTAGGTTATGCCTCGGTGACATGGCCACCGTAAGTGATGGCCATACTCTTGTGTTTATCACAGCTGATACTGAAGAGCTGCTCTGGAAGGGAGGTGAACAGAGCTTTTGAGCTGCTCCTTTTCCCCCTCATTCGTGTGAGCAGAGGCAGTGTCCAAACGAACGCTTCGTGGCCTCTGGAAGGTTGGCACGGAGCTGAGCTTGGCTCTGCCTGTCTTACATGCTGCGCTGAGCTGGCTGTGGGCCAGCTGTTGACAGCCTTCTCTCCCTTCCCAGGTGTTTATCTCTGTGAACTGCCTGAGCACTGATTTCTCGTCCCAGAAGGGTGTGAAGGGATTGCCTCTTAACATCCAAATCGACACCTACAGCTACAACAACCGCAGCAACAAACCCGTGCACCGGGCCTACTGCCAGATCAAAGTCTTCTGTGACAAGGTGAGAGCAGGTCGGGGCTGGGGGTAGAGCATGGAGACAACTCTCCTCCTGGAAAAACTGCACTATGCACACAGCGCTGCCAGTGGAAATGGCTTCTCTTAAATGAGCAATTGTTGTTTGGGCCTTGCCATGAAGTGCTACCTAGTGACGAAGAGAACCTTATTCTAGCTAAAAAAAAAAATTGGAAGGTTTGCTCCGCATCTTGTCCAGTGTGTCTGATAAAGATGATGGTCAAAAGCCACGTCCAGTACAGCTCAGGACTGCTGCACTGGCCACCCTTTATCTGTCTGTCCTCTCTGCAGGACCTGGCAGGTGGCCAGCCACCTCAGGACAGCAGCAGAGGGTGGATTCAGGCTCTGCTCCACAGCACAGGGCGGTGCGAGACAAAGGAGAGGGCCCTAGGAGAGCTCAGAACCAATGCTTTTCTCTGACGTGGCCCCTTTTTTCCCAGTGAAGAGATCCTGCTTTTTCCAGATCCTGTTTAACCAGAGAGAATCTGACAGGGAGGTGTGCCTGGGGGAAGCAGCTGCAGAGGGTCCAATGGGCTCAGATCGAATAAGACTTGGCCTTTTCTAGTTCAAAAAATGTTGGACTGCATGGGTTTTTTTTTTTTTTTTTTTTTTTTTTTGCCAGTTCCTCTCTTCCTAACCTGTTTAAAAAAAAAAAAATTCTTACATTACGATTTTTAGAGGGTCTAGGTCTAGATAACTTAAGGTATATTTGCTGTGGAGGCCTGGTCTGTCATCCCATCTGACCACAGGAGGGCGCCTGGGACCTTCCGGAGACTGCGGGAGACTGCGGGACCTGCTGCGCTCCTGACAGCTGGTTAGGACGCACTAGCCTTCTTTTGTCRTCGTTAACAAATTACCAAAAACATAGTAGCTTAGAACAGTACAAATGTCTTATGCAGGTCTCACTGGACTAAAATTAAGGTGTGGACAGGACTGTGCCACTTTCCAGGGGATCTCTGGGAGAAGCACTCTGTGCCTGTTCCATGTGCTGGAGGCACCTGCATTCCTTGGCGCATGGCTGCTGTGGTCTTCGGAGCCCTCTGTGGCYAGTCACACCTCACGTCCCATCGTTCTGACGCTTTGTCCATCACCACATCTTCTTCCATGACCCTTCTGCCTTCCTTTTCTGCTTTTTAGGGCTCCCCCAGATGGCCTAGGAGAGTGTCCCTCTCTTGCAGGCAGCCAGCTAACAGCCTGAACCCCAGCTGTCAGCTGGCCTGTTCCCAGGCCCTGAATGAGGCTCTGGGCATCACTGGGCACAGATGTTTCTGGTGGGCTGCATCTGACAGAAGCTGGGTCACAGCTGGTGAGCTCGGGATCTCTGAGCCTAAGGCAGTTTCTTCCCCTTTGTGCCACATTCCTCTTTGGAGCCTAAAGAAAATATGAAGGGGAAATATCAGGATATTCATGTTCTTTTTCTAAAACTCTAGGAAAAAAATTTAGTTTTATTGGTTCGATTAAAATATTTTTTTTCACATTTAATGTTTCTGAAAAACTTCCCTGATAATTTTTAAAATTTTTTTCAGTTGTGGGTGGACACAATGCCTTTATTTATTTATTTTTATGCGGTATTGAGGGTTGAACCCAGTGCCTCACCCGCGATAGGTGAGCACTGTACCGCTGAGCACAACCCTAGCCCCCTGTCTGATAATTTTCTTTGACATTCTTGAGAATTCTTGATTTCCTATGAAATGCTTATTTTCCTGTGCTAACAGAGAGGTAAACACAGTAGAGCCTTGGCCAGCGCCCCCGCAGGGTTCCCGCTGTGGGAGCCCACGTCAGAGGTGGCTCCATCAGAAGAGGCAAGAGGTCATGTCCTGCATCAAGGTCTTTCCTCAGAGTTCAGCACTGTGGTCACTTAGAGCARTGTCTCCATGGGCATCTGTTATGCCTTCTGCTACCATAAAATACAATAAATACTCAGATGAATTGCCAGAAGAGAATGAAATGGTGCAGAAAAACAAAGTCATGTAAACTACAAGCTCCAACTTTTATATTTCATTCAGGAGACATAAACTGTTCCATCATAATTGCTCCCCAAATGCTTACTCAGTTTCTGGCCCTGCTGTCCTGGGACCGGTGGCAGCCATCCCTCAGGTTACACTGAACGTTGTCTTGTCAGTAAATAAGCACGAGTCAGTAGGAGTGGCAGTTTTCCATGGCAGATGATGAAACTTGTATATGCGGTTTTGAAAAGAAGGAATGTATAGATAGGTGCTCTTAAACAAATTTAGTTTCAGTAAAGACTTTTCTTAGGAGCCTTCTGCATTGGTAGCTGATTTAGAAAATGAAACACAGGGCAGGTTTGTGAATTGTCCAAAGTTACTTTATCAATCAGTGATTGTACAAAGTGTAGAAACCAGTTCTCTCTGCTGTGGGAGGGCTTTGAGACCATGCACTGGTGTGCTCTGAAGCAGAGTGCCTCTCTTCGGGTTGCAGAATTGAATGTGTCTTGAAACAGTGCGTGAYTGCTCTTGCTGATGTTTCTGTTGCCTGCTGATCTGTGGATCACCCACACTGGGAACACGCTATCTAAGGTTGGGTAGCAGGTCGGATGTGCAGTTGGTCCCTGATTTTCCATTACTTGTGTGTTCAAAGGATGTCAAGCCATGATGAGAGAAGTGGGCGTCCTGCTCCCAGTGTGCTTTGTGGATTCATCAGTGGATACTCAGATGCCCTTGGCCTCCATGGGTCATCACCTTCTTTGTGAGGCCTTTAAAAATATCCATTACTATTTTTCTCCACCTGCTAGAGTATGTATCCTTGAGATCTGCATAGAGATGAAAGTGGTTGGTCTGCTCTCCCATTATCTCCCATTTTCTGCCCTTATAGCATAAGGAAGCCTATGTGTTGTATAGTATTGCAGGACATTTAGGGACATAGAAGGTAAAATTATACACTATTTTCCAACACTGTTTTAATCTCAGAGCTGTTTTAGGTTGACATAAAGTACTACGTGAGAAGGAACTGTATTGTGTGTGCTCTGTGTAACGGATGTTCTAAGGTGGATCTTTTGACTATTTGGAGTCCCACGTGACCTCACCCCTACTCATGACCTGATGCACCTGTCTGCGACCTTTCTGCCATCCTGCTATGACTGTGATAGTCACTTCAAGTTTAGGTCTGCCTTGCCCTGTCTCTGCTCTGGACCATTCCCTCTGCCTCCCCAAGTCTGTCCTTTCCAAGGTCTGACTCACCTGTTATTGACCTCTGCCCTTCACTTCCCCTCTGCCGATTCTTAAAACTCTCTCATTTTATGACTCAAGAAGTAAGAGATCTTTTGGCAYCCTTCAGAGGTATTATTTTTCTCTCCTGAGGGAAAAAATTATATCAGCACTATTATGAGTTGCTTAACTCACTTGATAAATGGAATTTTCTGTTATTTCAGAAGCAGCAGCAACTTAGCACTTTATCAGAGGAACTGGAAACAGAAATTGAGTCTGTAACCATGGAAATTTGGCAATTTCTCTTTCTGTGAGCTGTGGATGTCTCTGGTCCATCCAAGAAGAGAAGAATCTCATTGACACTGTTTCCCACAGAAACCATTTTCTTCTTCATCAGCTGCGCCTGAGGACAGGATTAACTTTTGTTAATGTTATGGACTCACTTCTTGGGGCAAACCTAATATGATTTCCCCAAGATCAGTCTCATTACTTGTTGACTCAGAGAAATAATCTGAACACCCGAAGTTATGAAATGCTTTCCCATAATGTCCTAGAACTTACTTCAACGTGTCCTGCAGTGTGTGCCGACTGAGTGAATTCTTCCAGCCGTTCTGTGTCTGAGAAGTGTTTCTTTTTTTCTTTTCTTTTTTTTTTTTTGTTCTCAAACATGAATTTCTCAGATTCATGATTTATTAGGAAAATTTTATTAGCATTAATTTTTTTCCGTTTTTTAATTTGTTTTAATTAGTTATACATGACAGTACAATGACTTTGATATTTCATACATTTGAATCAGATGGGATATAATTTCTCATTTTTCTGCGTGTACAGGTTGCAGAACCATATTGGTCATGCAGTCACATATATACCCACAGTAATAATAATGCTGTGTCGTTCTACTATCCTTCCTATCCCTCCTCCCCTCCCATCACTTCCCTCTACCTAATCTAAGGTAGCGCTGTTCTTTATTTTTGTTTTCCTCACATCTTCATACATGTATTTTGTATAACGATGAGGGTCTCCTTCCACCAGTGTTTATTTCATCTTGTATTCTGAAGACTCTTCCTGCTGGGTATAAAAGTCCAGGTTGACTGCTTTCCCACCCGTGCTCCTAAGAGGCTGCTCCGCTGTCTTCCGTCTGATGCGGTTTCTGATGACAAGCCCGGTCCTCCATGTCTTTGTTCTGTACATAATGTCTTCTCTCTTGGGAATGTCTTCAAGATTTTATCACTGTTTTTGAGCGGTTTGGTTATGATTTGTTCATGTTTCTTGTGCTTGAAATTCGTTGAGCTTCTTGAATTTGTTGAAAATCATTAACTTTGGAAATTTTTCAACAGTTGTTTCTTCCAGCTCATGTGCTGCTCTTCCTCTGTTGTGGTCTCCACTTAGACATTTGTAGGGTACTTGAGGTTCCCTCAGAGTTCACTGATGACCTTTTCTTTTGAAGGGACTATTGTTTCTCTGTTTCATTTTGGATGTTTGTCTTGTTGCCTCAAGTTCATGGTTTTTTTTGCCAGGTCTAAATTGCCGTAAATCCCAGCCAGCGTATTTTTTGTGTCAGACGAGGTAGTATTCCTCTCTAGAAGTTCAAGTTGGATCTTCTAGATTTAGTTTTTTCCACTGGMTTTTTGAACATATGGGGTGCTGTTACAATAACTTGTAGTATCCTTGTCTAACATTAGTGTCAGTTGTGGGTGGCTTTGGAGGTTGGATTGTCCTATTCCAGCCGTGTTTTCCTGCTTCTCTGCATGCCTGACAGTTCCACTGGATATTCCCCCTTGTGAGTTTTGTGTGGTACTGGTCATTTTTGTATTCCTGTGACTTTTCTTGAACTAGACCTTGTTAACTTCTTGGAAACAGCCTTATCCTTTCAGATCTTCTTTTTATGATCTGTTAGGTGGGTCTGGAGCCTGGCTCAGTGTCAGGCTAATTATTCTGCACCCCTGGGTGAGATTTTCAAGCAGATCCTATTCAACATGCTGTGAGTTGTGAGTTTCCCCAGTTTGTTGGGAACAAGCACTATTTTTGGTCCTATGTGAGTTTCAGGTGCTATTTCACTAATATTTTCAGGTGTGCCCCCCCCTTCCCCGGGGCATTGGGTAATTTCCTTGCCCTTGTGTGCCTGCAGAACTTGCCGAATACCCCGGGGCCTCTGTGGATCCCTGGGGCTCTCGTAGCTCCTTCCTCTTTGGTCTCTTTCCATCCTGCTCCTCCTGTCAGGGCCTGCAAGCTGAAGGCAAGAAGGGCTCACCTTGTTTGTGAAACAATCCTTGTTTCATGCATTTTACCTGGTTTTTGCCATTGTTCCAGGGTGGAGAATAAATCTGGTCTGTCACTCCATTTTGGATAGAAGTAGCAGTTCCTTAGCATTCTCTACGGATTCATCTGATAAAGAAGGAGGAATATCCTCGTTTGTAAAACCACCTTTTAGGACGTACACTTTATCATTGAAATGAAGTTATTGTTAGACTCTTAGAAGGGACTGTTGTGCAGACCAACACCATACAGTAATGGCTGGGAGACTGGGGACATTGACCTGCTTTTCAATGTCAGGGAGGTAATGTCTGTCTTATTGGGTAGCAATTGTTATAAGCAGGTGATTATAAAATGTTTACCAGCAGCATGTTAGGATATCAGTACCCTCTCGAGTAAGCAGAAGTGACTTTGTGTTGTAGGTATTTTTGTATGTAATAATGCCAAGATCACTGTGAAGATTTTTATTTCCTATCTTTAGCCAACTTAACTGTAAAACTGTGTTAAAAAAAATCTGTGTCATGCAGAAATACACAGCAATAAATCAAGCAAGATGACTAAATGTTATGTTTTTGTTATATCTAATCACTTAATTTCAGTTCATGTTTATTAATATAGTTCATTCTAAAATTTTTGTGGATTCTGTTGTATGGCACTGTCACTCTTTGTATAATTGATGTACATAGTACAAATGCGTTCTTTTTATAGAATTCAGAATACACTTGTTCTCGTAAGTGATCATGCAGATTTGTAATTTCGTCTTTGCTTTTGTGAATCACAGCTGGTTGCATCTGTCACTCAGTGGAGGCCCAGTTCTTGGACAGAATCTAGCTCTCAACAGTTGCATGGCTCACATAGGAGAGTGCATTTGAAAAGAAGATCAACCTATTTTTCCTTTGGTTTTCTTTTCCTCCTGGACAGTGGGAAAAGGCACTCACATCCCTGCAGTCAGCGTGTGCATTAGCCGATTTTCTCAGCTTTTCATTTAGCCTGTTTATGTCTATTACTGAAAGAAGTTTTGTTTTATTTCTTTTTGAAATGTTGATTATTTATGATGTTATAATATGAATATGATTCAGTGTAATCAATTTCACATAGTTAAAAGCAATTTTAAGATCAGGCTTTTTAGAGAAAATGACTATGAGAAGCCCCATGAATATAGTAAGTAACAGAGTTCACTTCCAGAGAGGAGAGAGCCCGTTGATCAGGATAAGAACTAAATATTTCAGAATCAGATTCATGGAATCCCATCTTTTCTCCTTTTGACCTGCAGGGAGCTGAGCGGAAAATCAGGGATGAAGAACGAAAGCAGAGCAAAAGAAAAGGCAAGTGTCCTGACCCCAGCTCCCAGGGCAACTCCTGTAAGTAGAGACGTTCCAGGCTGCGCCCGCCTGTGCGACTGAGCTGTGGTGGAGGGTGGTGGTGGGCGTGGGAGGCTGGGATGCGCTAGCGAGGCTGCCTGCAGCAGATGCAGCAGAGAGGAGTGGCTGGACCTGAAGAGCTGCATGTGGGGGCTTCTAGGATTTTCCAGAGCTCGGGCTCTTTAAAAAAAAAAAAAAAAAAAAATATATATATATATATATATATATATATATATATATATTAGTTGTAGGTGGACATAATACCTTTACTTATTTATTTTTAAAAATATTTTGTTTTCGTTGTTGTTGGACACAGTAAACCCATTTTTAATTTTTAGGTGGCGCTAAGGATCGAACCCAGCACCTCACATGTGAGGGGCAAGCGCTCCACCGCTGAGCCACAACTCCAGCCCCGAGCTCAGGCTCATTTAGCTATCAGTTTGGGTTCAGGTTCGGTTTCAGTTCTGAAAAATAACACATGTTGCCCATGAGCAGCTGCTGAAGTTGGGGCTTGTTTCCATTCGTAAAAATAGTAATACCTCCTGAGATTCGGGGTGTCTGGATTCCAAATGAGAACCACTTCACACGTGTAATCTAACATTTGCAGCATCTACAGGGCTTCCCTCGGACCTTCCACCTGGAAAGCATTTGTTTTCTCTCTCTCTCTCATGTTTTAAGTGAGATTAATATGCATATTTACAAACTCCTGTCTGTAAGAGGCTAAAAAGGGAAAAGTGCTGCTCTGTGCTTAGGGGTGTTTATCTGTGATATGGGCTTCTAGACGTTCTGTCAGCCCTACACCACGTGGATGAGATTCTCCTACTGGCACCAAAGTGCAGCCTCCAAGTGCCACTTGGGAGAGCAGCTAATGAACTAGGAAACTTCGCAACTGAGTTCATCAGGACCAGATGATGGGGAGGATGGAGTCCATAATTACTAAATTAAAAACTAGTCAAATTCACTCTTAAGCTCAGTGCTGATTCTCTTGATATGTTCCAAAGTCAAAGGGTGTGTTGCTATTAGAATGTAAATTGCTAATAAGGATGACTAAAGTAGAATTACTTCCAAATTGTTCATATGGTAAGTTTTAGCCTTTCAGATAAAAACTACATATGCTTTACCCCTCCCTGTTCCAGTTCTTCTGTATTCATGTGTCTCTGTTTGTTTTCAAAGATATCTTTTTCTGGTGGTCTTGATAAGATGTTCAGTGGTTGTATTATAAGTACAGATAACAAATTCGCTTACATAAGCAGTGACTCTCCTAGTGCATCTCCTACGGGGCTTTGATGTCACTGCTCAAACTTGGAAGGAGCTGCTCTATGGCCTGCTTCCAGCTGGCAGATGCCATCTACTGATGTCACTTTCCTCATTTTGTTTCTTTCAGTTTCTGATGCCAAAGTGCCACTGCTTCCCTCACACAAGCGGATGGACATCACGGTGTTCAAGCCCTTTCTTGACCTGGATACTCAGCCTGTCCTCTTTATTCCTGATGTGCACTTTGCCAACCTGCAGCGGGGCACTCATGTAGGTAGCCACTGTCCCGGGACGCTGCAAAGCATGGCAAAAAGATTTTGGGGGGCATTGTTCATGGTAAATAGGAGCCAGACTTCAGCAAGCTTGACTTGTTCACCAGCTGCACGGACCGTCAGCTGTGGTGACGTGATGCCCATGCAGTAAAACGTGTGAAGCTCTGTTGACTTGAACATGCAGGACGAGACCTGTCAGCTTCCTTGTGCATGCATTCACTCCCTCTCTCACTCACCCAGGTCATTTGAAGGATTCTAGAATAGCAACATAATCAGACCTGCGGTCTATTCTGTGAGTTTCCCTAGGGAGGCACCTATGCCAGGTGGCCTGGCTAGCATGAAGAACACCCGAGGCTCTTCTCATGGTTGTTGGCACATGCAGGGTGGTCATGTCGTGGCACTTAATGCTGAATTTTTTAAATGGTCACACCCTGCTTTGTGGCAGAAGCTTACCGGAGAGACAGAAACTTCAGTAGAGTGGCACTTGCTTTTTATGCTGAGCTCAGATAAATATCACCAAGACACCCGTCYGTGCATATCACAGGTAGATCTGTGAGGACTACAAGGACTTTTCAGAATTCTTGAGAATCCATTGCCAACATATTCCATTTCTAATGGAAAGCTTTGGGGTAAGCAGGGGCTAGCAAACTTTTGTAAAGAGTGAAATGGTGGTCAAAATTTTAGGCTTTTGGTCCACGCTGTTTCTGCTGTGCTGTTCAGCTCTGCCATTCGAATGTAGAAATGAATAGGTGGTTTTGTTTCTGTAGCTACTTATATAAGCAAGCTTTGGACCCAGATTTGGCCCACAGGCCACAGTGTGCCAACCCCTGAGTTAGAGAAGTTCAAGGTGTCTGTAAGAATCTAGGCATTGAAAAATAAAACTTAAAGGACTTAATATTTTTTTAAAAAAGGATTTGATGTTAGGGTCAAATTCAAAATTATTCTTGTTTTAGGAATAATTCATTTATGGTCTGAAACGTCTACACATCTGTTTGACACGCAATCTGTGTTTTGGTCTTAGGTTCTTCCCATTGCCTCAGAGGAATTGGAGGGTGAAGGGTAAGATTTATATTTTGTTTTGCTTTAATAAACTTGGTTGTTTTGAAACAATCTCTGCAAGGACAGTACAATGAAGAACTCGTTTTTCCTTGAGTCATTTGAGAATAAGTTGCTGACCCAATGGCCGTCATTCCTAAGTCCTGTGATGTGTGCGTCCTTCAAACAAGGCCGTCTGCATGTCCCAGACAGCCAGGGTATTCACCCTCACTCAGACCCAGGAATCCTTCACCACAGGAGAGGACCCCRTCCAGGACCACGTTGTCGGGGAGGTCGTGAGTGTCCAGTTGCCTTTGGTCTGGAACAGTTCTGGCCTTTCCTCAACTCTCCTGGGGGGATGCTTTTGTGGACTGGAAACCAGTTGTTTTGTGGAGTGTCTTCAATGGGCCTCGGGTCAGATTGAGGCTGGGCACCTTGGTGAGACCCTCCTAGTGGCGACAGTGTCCTCGGGCATCCTGCCAGAGGCACTCCGCTCACCCCAGTGCTCACTACCAGTGCTCACTGTAACCCCACAGCAAAGTGTGGCGTCTGCCAGGCTCTTACTGTGACAGGTCCTTCTCCTTTTGTAGTGGGTGCTTTGGGATAAGGTACATTGTACCTCTGTAAATATCTCATTCCCTGCCAAATTTTAGATTTATTCACCAATTTATTTGTGTCAGTATGGACTCTTAAAGTTTCCCACTTTAAGTTGTAATGCATTACTGCCATGTGCCTGGACATCTGGTTGCCCAGAGTTGGGCAGTGGGGCCCAATACCCTCCTGGCGCACTCAGGTGTTTCCCTCCAGCTGCAGCAGCCTCTGCTCCAAGAGTCTCTGGTTGTCACTGGTGGAGAAGGCGTTTAGAGTCAGGATGGGACCTGGATGTGCCTTTGAGGCTTGCTGCCCACCCCCAGACCACCCTTCCCTGGTGGGCGCCCTGCTGGGGTTCAGACCCCTGCATCAGGAAGCCCCATGCAGAGGAGCCCATGCAACCCCTCCTGTCTGTGCATGCCCCTTGTCCTTCCTGGTGGCTCTAGGACTGAATTTTCAAGAAGGGAAAGGTTCTGTTTTGGTGTTTCAGTTTCCCCTTTTGTCTTAATACAGAAAAGTGCAAGTGACAGACAGAGCCTAGGGCAGACAGCATCTGCTCCTCAGCCTCCCTCCCTTCCTTTTGGGGCCACTCCCAGGACTCCACCTGTCCTCGCGGGGACCCTCCCAGCCCCACACACGTGCCAACTCTGCCTCCTCTCCAGAGTCCAGTCCTGCCCTGCTTCCGCTGCTCTTGGTGTTTGCTCTTGGCAGGCAGCTACCTTCTCTGGATGCCTGTTGTGCGCTAGGAACTGAGAGACACAGCATTTTTAAGCCCCACTCCCCCAGTTCCCGAGCTGATTGTCCTGTCAAAACCAAGCACACACTTTCCTGTTCTTCAGCTCTTTGAATGTTTTCCCCCTCACCCTCAGGCCCTCCCCGTCGGGCTTTGGCAGGGGTCAGGGAGACCTGTGCACGCCCTTCCCCGCACTCTCCTATCCATTCTTCCCCTTTCTTCCCCTGAGCACCTGTGTTAGCCCTGAAGATGCACTCTGGTGATCACCGTCTCCTCTCGGGCTAGCCTTCCTAGAGTCCTCTGCAGTGTGACCACACACCTTGGCCACAGCCTGTCTCAGCAAACTTAAGAAGCTTCCCTCTTCCCTTGATGCAGATTGACTCCTTCCGGCTGACCGGTGAGCCGGCCTCCCTCCTAGCTGGCCTCCCTGGTGTTCTGTCCGGGCCCGCCTGGCTTTGCCTTTTCCTGCTCAGCTTGCACTCTTTCCAGATGCCCTCTCACCYGTTATCCCAGATCCTGTCTGTCTCCACCCTTGAGCAGGCAGCTGGTCTTGTGAAGAGCAGCAGGATGTCAAGCAGGTGGCCCCGAGATGCCGTCCAGTGACCGGGAGTCCTGGCTCTGTGGTTATCTTGCCCTGGGCCTCAGTATTTTTTCATCCACAAAACAAAGACGCTGAGCCCATGAAATTCAGTGATATTCACTAAAACTCTTTGTTTATGCAGGTAATGGAGGTGGAAGTCACTAACTCTGCACTGTTGATTGCCCACAGATCTGCCTTGAAAAGGGGCCCGTATGGAACAGAAGATGACTTTGTTGTCCCCACTCCTGCTAAGCTGCCCCGGATAGAAGAACCAAAGAGAGGTGTGTTGGCGTCTGTGGCTTAGTGGGGGTCTAATCAGCAGTGAGCTCCGATCTGTCAGAAGCACAAATTGCACAAAAACATCTTTTCCACTTGAATTCCTTGAGTGTTCTTCTGTCAGACTTGACACTTGACTTGAGCCTGGACAGACATAGAGTTCAGAGCGAAGGCTGCAGCCTGTGACCTTGGGACGGTGTCACCTTGTTCACGTTTGCTGCCTTGGCTGCGGGTGTGTCTTTTTATCTTAACTGGTGCCCATTGTCTGCTTTCATATTTTGTTCCTGTGAATTAATCACATACTTCATTCTCTTCTCTACCTCCTTGTTCTGGCTGGGGCTAGTGCTTCTCTACGTTCGAAAGGAATCCGAAGAAGTCTTTGATGCCCTGATGCTCAAGACCCCATCTTTGAAGGGCTTAATGGAGGCTGTAAGTAGGACACGTGGTGGGATCCCTGTTAAGCATGAAGCAAGCACAACATAGAATTCCATCCAAGCAATTTGTCACCACCCAGGCGTTTCCATGTGCTAGGACCTATGTCCCCCTTTCCAGATCTCACTTTGTACCTGTCATGTGGCCACATTGTACAGCTTTAGGGTGTCCGCTTTTGTTTGCAGATCTGTCTTGTCCACGTGGGGTTCTCACCCATGTGCCTGGCCTTGGGTCGTAGGTGAATCGCCCGGCCTTGAGTGTTCTACTGAATGGGACGCATCTGTGAGGGCCTACAAAATAGTTTACTTTTTATATACTTAGTTAAAGGGAGACTGCCATGTAGCAAATGCTCTAGAGGCTAAAATATTATTTTTAATCAGTAAAACCTTAAAAATAAGATACATAAAAATAGTGGAAGTCATCACAATGGCACAACCCTGTAATCCCCACAACTTGGGAGGCTGAGGCAGAAGGATCACAAGTTTAAGGCCAGCCTCAGCAATTTAGCGAGACCCTGTATCAAAATAAAAAGGTCTATGGATGGGGCTCAGTGGTAGAGCAGCCCTTGCTTGGTTTAATCTCCAGTACCAAAAAGAAACCCCCAGTAGCTCCTGAGTTGGCCTTTGCTCCTGATCCTTGCTGAGCTGTGCAAGACTTTGGAGATATTTGAGAGCATGTGAAGGTGCAGCCAATAATGACCAGAAATCCTATTCTGGACCGATCAGTGAGATCCACTGACCCCAGTATCCCTGGGGATGTCAGTGAGAGAGGGGCATGGAAGGGAGGGTGTTGACTTCATTTGACAGATCTTTATAGGGGCTGCTTTGTGCCAGGTGCTGCTCTAGTCAGTGGAGTCACAGGAAGGAGGGACATAGTGCCAAATGAGGCCTGCCATCCACTTAAGACAGAGACGATGAGATAAGCAAGAAAATTAACATGTAACTTTTTAGGCACAGAAAGCACAATGAAGATGTGGGTGAGGGGCAGGGTGTCAGGGAGCTCACAGGTCCCTTAGTGTCCCTTCCTGCTGCACCCCCTTTCCCACAGTCATTTCCTGCTTCCTGCATTTTCTCCCTTCTTTTTCTTCCTTGTCCTGTCTGTGACCGTCTTTTACCATTTCTTAAGGATGCTGCATTCCCTAAACTATAGGGAGAGGTGAAATGAAAGGGGTGGAGCATGGCTGTCTGGTGTAACTCACAGATCCCAAGGGGTTCCCGAGGGGCAGTGGCTCGTGTTCCTTGGGGCTGGGCTTTCATCAGGAGGTGGAGCCTTGCTGCCTAGTGCTGCGGAGGGAAGAGGGCTGGTTTGTATGGTGAGCCCTGTGCGTGGATGCAGGCTGAGGGGCGTCTCAGTGCTGCCCCAGCAGAGCCTCACCCCAGCCCCAGCATGGTGGGCAGCACTTCTGAGGAAGGTATTCGATCTTGAGTCAGCAGTGTGTCCTCACCCCAAGGTCTGATCACCTTTATATCCCAAATATGGCACAGGAGCAGTGCGACAGCAGGGCAGGGCATCGCTGCTCAGGTGAACGGTGGGCTTGGGTGCGGACTCCGGAGACAGCCCAGATGCAGCAGCCATGGGCCGTGTGCACGTGCAGAGGATGCGCAGGAACTCTGCTTTCTGCTCCTTTTTCCTAAAAGCCTTAAACTGCTCTATGAAAATAAAGCCTAAGAAAGAACCAACCATGACCCTGTAATTCACCAACCTTGTCCTGGGTGTACGTTTCCCCCTCAGTTGGCCTGTTGACGTCTGTGTGAATTAGGGGGATACCACGGACCCTCACTACAGCGCCCACTCCTCTCCCCGAGGACCTGGTTGGGTCTTCTCCACGTAGTTGAATTGCTTTTTTGGCCTTTTGGCTAAAATCAAGTGAAAAAAAGGAAATTGAGTGACTGGGTGTGTGTGTGTGTGTGTGTGTGTGTGTGTGTGTGTGTGTGTGTGTGGTGGATTTTTGTTTGTTTTTTAAAGTCGTGAAAACATTGTGTAATTATTTTTCTCTGCTCTTTTAGATCTCAGACAAATATGATGTTCCCCAGGACAAGATTGGGAAAATATTCAAGAAGTGCAAGAAAGGGTGAGCAGTGGGGCCCTGTGCACGCCTCTCCCTCACACACTTACTGGTTCCCTTCAGAAACAGCCAGAAACACTAATGCGCAGGGTGGTTTTCTCACCAAATTATTTTACTTAAAGTTGATCTACCTTCAGGCTGGGGTTGTGGCTCAGTGGTAGAGCACTTGCCTAGCACGTGGGAGGCCTTGGGTATGATCCTCAGCACCACATATAAATAAATAAAACAAAGGTATCGTGTCCAACTAAACTAAAAATATATATATTAAAAAAAATTGATGTACCTTGAAGTCCACTTTTGTGGATTGTTTTTCAAGTAGAATTTGTATCTACTATTCCCACACGTAGCAGCTGAGAGGCACAAGGAAGTTGGCTAAGGATGTCAAACGCAGCTCCTCCGTTCCCTGCACGCCGTCGTGAGGGAGCCAGGCACAGAGTGGGCACTCATGTGCTGCTGCATCTGGTTTTCAGTGTCTTTCTGAATGGTGTCATTACCTGCGGCCCTAGACTAGGCACCTCGGGCTCAGAGGGCGTGAGAGCTGTGGCCAGAATCACGCAGCTTGGTGGCAGTGCAGCCACGACTCAGCCCAGATTCCGCTGGCTGCAGAGCCTTTGTCTGCCCTTTGTCTTGAGCACCCTGCCCCAGGTCTCATTTTCTTCTAGGTCCAGAAATTGACATTTGTAGTTTAGGATAACTTGCCAGGGAGGACAGGTTGTCTGGGAGCTGGGGCTTCGGGTTGTGGAGATGAGTTTTACCGATGTGTGTTCTGAAGCTGGACCACTGAGTGCCGCTCTGCAGGCCTGTTCTGTGTACTAGGTGCCATGGATTGAATGAGTGCCCCTGGCAGGAGGCAGTAATCCACAGGCCTCTTCCTGTCTCCACCCATGTGCTTGCATCCAGCAAGGGCTTACTTGATTCCCTCCTTGTTCCTTCTCAACACAGCTGTCACAGTGGGCCGTGATCGTCAGTGAGGCAGTTGAGGCATGGGGTAGTTTAATAGTCATGCTTGTGTCACAGCTAGCGAGTGCCATTAAACCCAGGTCTCCCTCCAGAGCCAGGAACGCTGACACAGATTGGTCTCCTCCCCAGGATCCTGGTGAATATGGATGACAACATTGTGAAGCACTACTCCAATGAAGACACCTTCCAGCTGCAGATTGAGGAAGCCGGGGGATCATACAAACTCACTCTGACGGAGATCTAAGGCCTGGGCCTGCAGCCCCTGGGAGGTCGATGGAGATGTTACGTAGATGTGTGGCCCACTGCAGGGGCCTGGACACCCACCTTGCAAACGCAGGTGGCTGTCAGGGGACGGGATTGCTTTTGAGTTGGCAGTGGACCTGCATTTAATGTATTACGTTGACATTTTTCAGTTGACAGAAAAATCCATGTATCATGATGTTTGAATTTCTGAAATACTTAGGACTAAAAGTGAAAATTTTATTCTAGGATTTAACAGATTCTGGAAGCCTTTAGGGTGCCTGCTACCTTCTTATTTATCAAAATACTGAGATCTCTGCCTTGTCTACTCTACAGTAGTAGTGGTTCTGTGCACTAGTGGGGTCAGGAACAGCAGCATGCGTGGCTTGAGGATTTTGTGCTCTTGCCTGACCTCAGTTGAACTCCAGCTGCCCTGAGCAGTAAAGGGGTGCACCCCTCCCTCAGCCTCTCGTCCCCCATTAAATGTTTACTAACTAGGGCACGTTACTGGAATCTTACTTTGCAACTTCCTTGGACATATCAGCTGCCTGTCTTAGGAAGAACCTAAATGGGTCACAGTGTGAAATGCATTAAGATAAAGCTGCATTGTATATAAGTGCAATATCTTTTTGAAGGTGTGTGTCTGTAAATGTGTATATACGTGTCTGATATAAATATATAATATATAAATAATGGTATCTGTGTACAGATGGTGAAGATACACAGTAAGATCTACCTTAGAGAGTTTCATAGACAACAGGTTAAGTTATTTTTGATAACGTGGACTAAGCAGAGGGAACGCTGTGTTTTCCCAGACACATGCACCGCTCCCCAGCCTAGCAAGATCTTCTCAAATGAAGAAAGTCCCTGTCTGCCATTGAGAACCTTGCTCTGTGGGTGTGTGCACTGTTCAGAAGTGAAGTTAAAAGCGACCTCGACTGCTGTGTGGGCGGGTGTCGGGCGGGTGTCGGGGTGTTCCTGGGCAGTGAGCACAGTTACAGCCACATGCCGCGATCACTGTGAAGCTAGCAGGGTAGCTCCAAGTGGATTTCTTCTTCCTCTTCCTGTTACAAGAAATGGTTCTTACCATGTTTCAGAGCCTTTAAGCTTTGATTATCTTGTATGTTAACTACTTTTAGAAAGCATTCATGAATTTATGAAATTATACTACTGTGGCAGGGGAGCATTTTGTACACCTGTTTAAATACACAGAAGTACTTAAAATGTAATTTTATAACAAATCACGGGTATCTTTAGGTTCAGGGAACTAGAATAGGTTATTGTATGAGTAGGATTGATAGTTACCTTCAGAGGTTCAAATATTCTAATGAAGTATGTAAACTAAATTGCTGGTTTTCTAAGATATCATGGGACACGGGTCACATAACAATATTTTATATTTTGTTTTATGAAATGAAATCGATTGTGTCTTATTTTTAATTTTGTCATTGCAAATGTGTTTTAAACCAAAGGGATTAAATTTTATATGTCTATTTCGTAATATGTCATTTCCTGTTATTCGGCTTAACTTTATCCTTTCATTGGTTTGAAAATCTACCAATAATGTTTTAATTCATGAGAATTTCTTAAACAACTGTCCTGAGCAGGTCATCCAGGGCCTAAATGTGAGAGACACTAAAACATATTTTTAATGAACATAGTCCCATCAATGAAGTCCATTCCCTGGTAGACTGCCCGTCACATCTGTGAGTTTTCATTCTATTCTTTGGGCCAGAAGCCCAGCCTCTGCCTGCAGCCTCGGCTTCTGATCTGTCAGTGGCTGCAGAGTCCAACTTAGCACAGGGAACTCTGACCCTGGCAGCAGCTGGTCTGTGGGACCACTCTTTCCTGGCCTGGGTCCTGTCTCTGACCTCTGCATAGCCACCTTTGCCCTGGAGGTGGTGACCTCCCTTTCTCCCCAGGGGTTACCCTCTTCCTTGGCTGAGGCTCCCTCTGAGCTGTCCCTGCTTAGGATCATGATGGGACACCTGCCTGTCCTCCCCAGCCTCAGATGGAGGTCAGATGGATGTCTTTGTCACCTGTGGATTTCGTAACACCCAACCTGATAGTCATGTAGTAGGTCCTCAGGAAACCACTCTGTAATGTTGAAGTGAGTGACACATAACCCAGTCACTTGCAAGAGACTTTGTAGAAGTGACAAGCTCAGAAGTTCATCTGGGTGGATGTTGGACCAATAGTCCACAGAGTAGGGCTGGTAGGTAGAAATTGCCTGTCTGGTCCCAAAGAGATAGTGGCTCATAGAAAGGTGGCTCAAGGGACAACAAGCTSTGGTGAGTAGGCATCGAGGGGGCAGGCTGAGCAGAGTCCCTGCAGGGCAGGGCAAACTGGACTGTACCTCGGTATCAGTGCTGGCCAGATGTGCTGTGTTCCTTCCCATCGCTCCAGTCCCCTTGTGAAGAAAGCAGTGTCTCACTGGCTTCCCGTGTCAGCAACATCTGAACCCCACCTGAGGTCACAGTCAGTGGTCTAGCCTGGCTTGGGACCTGACTTCTGCCTCCTGATCCCTCCCTGGTGCCCAGACCTCCTGGCTCTTGGAGCAGCACCTGGACAGCTCCTCTCATGATGAACTCTCTTCTTTCTTAAATGCAAACACACTCTTGGTCCTGAACCCCTTAGTTACCACCCGCTTCACATTTCCTTTGAACCAGATTTTATTTCATTATAAATAAACTAAGAAAAAAGAACCACAAGCATTCCATTAGAATGAAAGTTACAGCTCCATGAGAAGAGTTTTCTGAGAAAGAAATTCCTACCTCCCCAGTCCTACTCAGAGATGAGCACTGAGAATTTCCCAGAGGGGGGAGGTTTGTGGAATTGGCTAATTGGATTAGATTTAAAGATGCTAATGACTCCTTTTCCAGTAGTAAAGAGAACACTGGAGTCCATGGCACAAGCTATTTGTAGAGAAATGCAAAATATGACCATTGGATACTCCTAACTAACCGCTGGTAAGAACGAAGAGCTAAGTGACTGTATGAGACTTTCAAATATTTTTGGAAAAGCAAGAAATATAATGATGGTTGGTTGGTTCTCATGTGGCTGGACAAAGTACTCAAAGCCAAAGGTGTGCTCAGGGATTCAGATTCCTGGGTCTAGTGCCACGTGAACGCCTGAGCGTCTAGGAGTGCCCTGAAGGAGAGCTGTAGCTGCAGACTGGAAGGGCTGGAACCACACAGAACCTCGTGGTACAACCCAGGTTGGACTCAGCCTTGCACAGTGTCTGCCATCAATGTGAGAGTGCTGACAGAAGAAATGGGGTCCTCTAAGTTGGAATGAAGACTCAGCCCCTAAATGCTGATGAGTTTGCCAGTGGAAAAGGTCTCTCCACCCCAATGGAACTGACTTCCCGCCCTTAACGGTGGTGACTTCCAACAGCAGTATCAGCCCTTCTACCTCCCTTGAGCAAAATGGTCATAAGGGCAGGAATGGAGGTTTTGCATAGGCTGAGCAACATGGCCTTCTACTGACCTGGCTATGGCCACTGCCCAATCTATAGAAGCAGAGACAAACACTGAGTCCCTGACACAGCACCATTTCCTGGGGTGATCAGCCAGCAACATGGCAGGTTGATTGCATTGGACTCCTTCCATCATGGAAGAAGCAATGTCTTTTCCTCTCTGGGACAATCAGGATTTGATTTGTCTTGCCTGCGTGCAATGCTTCTGCCAAAAGTAGCATCCATGGACCTGACAAGTGCCTCATCAAGGAACTCACTTCATAGCCAAAGTTGTTTAGCAGAGAGCACATGCTTGTGGAATTCTCTGGTCTTGCAACTTTCCTTACCCTCCTGAAGCAGGCTTGGTGGAACTGTGGAATGTTCCACCAAGACTGTAGAAGACTCAGTTAGAATGCAACTAGCTGGCAACACCTTGTAGGGGCTCCTCCAGGAAGCTGTGCGTGCTGTGAGCCAGCATCCAACATAGGCTGCAAGGTCCAGGAGTCAAGGGGTGGGGACGGACACTGCTCACTGTTACCCCCAGTGACCTACTGAAAAATTTTGCTTCCTATTCCTATGTCTTCAGGCTCTGCTAGCCTAGTTGTCTTAGTTCCAGAGGGAGGAGAGCCTCTTCCAGGAGACACATCATTGATTCCATTGAACTGGAAGTTTGAACTGGCTCCAAGCCGCTTTGGGCTCCTCGTGCCTCTGAGTCAACAGGCTGAGCTACGGTGTTGTCTGGGGGCATCGGTTCAGGCTGCAGCAGGGAGGTGGGAGTATGTCTGAATACAGGAGGTCACTGTGCCCTATGCCCAGGATATGATGAAGGTCGATGGGAAACCACCCAATCCAGGTAGGACCCTAGGTGGCCAGGCGCCCTGCCCCCCCCAGGCCTTCCGGGAGGTGCGTGGCCTGGAGGCACTTGCTGAAGGCAGCAGGAATACAGAATGGGTAGAAGAAGGAGCTAAACACCAGCCGYGGTCACAGGACCAGGCAGGAGAATGAGCACGATTGCCATGTTTCCTCCTTGTTATGAAGACATTGTGTCTTTTCACATATGAAGCAAGTTCTGTTTTAGTTTTTTCTTTCTTGTTTCATGTAATGTAACTCTGTTGACTTTCTAACAGTACTGAAGTATTGTTAATTTGGTTTCTCGGTGCTACAGGTTATCAGAATAGAAAAGACTGAAACCTTTCCTTGGGGGTAGGGATTAGTGGTTGGGCTGTATGAGAATAGGTGTATCCTTTAGGTAATGAGGAGGGGTGGTAAAGTGACAGGGTAGAGAGGACTAAAGGATGCCCAGGTAGCTGGTAAAACGTTGTTTCAGGCTGTGTCTGTGAGGATGTTTCTGGCAGAGACTAGCATTAGAATCTGCAGGAATAAGACAGACCCCCTCGCCAGTGCACACCACCATCCTCTGAGGGCCTGAGTAGAGCAAGAAGGCAAAGAAGGGCGCCTTCACCTCCCTTGAGCTGCGACACCCTTTTCCTGCCCTCAGACATGCGTGCCCCTGGTTCTCAGGCCTTCGAACCCCAGACCAACACCCCAGGGAGAAAAAGGAGATTTTCCCTCCCTCCATTTCTCAGGTCTTCAGACTCAGGCTAAATTAGCTCCTTAGGTCTTCAGTGAGCAGGTGGGAAATTGTGGGACCTCTCTCCCTCCCTAATTGAGTGAGCCAAACCTCCTTCACCACCTAGCTCTATTTCAGATAGAGAGATGACAGGTGGATGGATAAATGGATGGATGGATGGATGGATAGATAGAGTTATTTTCCTATTATTTCTGTTTCTCTGGAGCACCCAGACCAATACACCCACAGTCATAGGTTGCTGATTTTGGGGGTGAGCAGGCTATCTTCCCCACTCCCTATCTTAGTAGTGTCTGGTAGGTGCTATGAGCAGTAGGTGCTATGAGTGGTCAGTTTGCCCAGCTGTGAGAGAAGGGAGARCCCTGCTGGCCACAGCCCTTGCCTGGCCCTGGGCCCCAGGCCCTCTCTCTGCCGTGGTTCCTAACTCCCAGGAGGCTGAATTTCCCCTGGCCTCACCCTCCCACTTCTGTCAGGCCAGGCTAACTGAGCAGGACAGTGGACTTCTTGCCCTGTCAGTGCAGATGGAGCACAAGGTGTGCCCAGCAGCCAGCACC